CTTGGAACTACATTAAGTTTAAAATAAAGTATCTTTCAATATATCTAGAAATACTAAAAACAAACACCCCATTTCCCCCAAAAAAATTAGGTAAGGAAATATATTTCCTCAAAAACTTTTCTCGTATTATATCTAAATCTATAAAGGCTTTCACCATCATCTTATAAAATGATGCATGACCTGACTTTTATGGTAAGAATTAACAAGAATACTTTACATTGGAACCATGCTTAACAATTTACAGAAGTGTTTAACATTTTCTTTTTGTGCCCAGTCATATAATCTCATGACTCTGAAGCACTTAGACCCGGATAGTCTCTTTTTTTTTTTTTGCAAAAAAATAAAACAAAACTAAGTTAATATGATAAAAGCAATCAGCCAGATAGAAACTTGTAACAGTCATTTAGTTCATTCCCTTTTAAGCTATTTGGCTGCAATGCCAAGAAACCTGAGATTTGTTCTTCTGTGATTTGTGAGGATGTGAGGCCAGGTAACAAAACAAGGTTGGAACTTCATTTAACACAAGCCATTGTCACCTTTCTCTGCATTAAGGAGATCATGAAGTCACCATGGAAATTGTAAATGAATGTGTACTGATCGAAATGAATATTTTAATAACAATGATACACAAAACTAGTTGCTATTTATTTACTTTTGTTCTATCAATTGTTTTATGGTTTTTGTAATTTTTTTTCTTTAAGAGACAGGGTTCACTGTGTTCCCAGGGCTGGAGTGCAGTGGCCGTTCACAGGCCCAGTCAGGATGCACTAGAGCCCTGCACTCCTGGGCTCCGGCCACCCTCCTGCCTCCGCCTCTCGAGTAGCTGGGACTACAGGTGTGTGCCACTGCCCAGGTTCTTAGAATTTTTTTGTTATTCAAAAAATAGTTAAACATGAGACAATATATTCAAATGGGTCAAGCATAAACTATGTATTTTTTCTTTATCAACTCTACAACTGACACAGCTTGTTATTGTTGGATACGTTTTAGGATTCCCAGAAATGGAATCTTACTATGAGTGAAATCACATGGTTGGACTGGAAGCTTCCTGTTACAAGTCCAGGGAAGATGGGAATACCCTATGAGGCTCTGCATTAAATTCTGAATTGGAATTAAAAAATTGATTCTGTTGGGCCGTAGTTGCTTTTAAAAGACTTGATATCACTGCCACCTTAGTTGGTAACCATACAAGTGATGGCAAGATAGAGATAAGTGAGCTTCATTTTAAAAATGCAAATAGTGCTTGATTTAATAGTTTAAAAACTTGTAAAATTGCCCAGCAATAGATACACTCTACAAAAGCTGAAATATAAATGCTGTAAGTGCAGTAGCAATAAAGGACGTACTCCTATGTAAGAAAAGCACAAAGCTTTTAACACAACAATGGAAATAAATTGTTTAGTGTTTGATGTTTATTTAATTCAAAAAAATATTTATTTTGGATTCCATTAAATAATAAACATCCATATGTGGTTAAGTGTTTCGATGCCCACCACTCTCTTGTGATTATGGATGGAAAACTTGAGACGGTGCAAAGAAATTTTCAAAGTGGTGGCTGGGCATGGTGGCTCATGCCTGTAATCCCAGCACTATGGGAGGCTGAGGTGGGCAGATCACCTGAGGTGGGGAGTTTGAGACCCGCCTGACCAAAACGGAGAAACCCTGTCTCTACTAAAAATACAAAATTAGCCGGGCATGGTGGTGCATATCTGTAATCCCAGCTACTCGAGAGGCTGAGGCAGGACAATTGCTTGAATCCGGGAGGCAGAGGTTGCAGTGAGCTGAGATCATGCCACTGCACTCCAGCCTGCAGTCCAACAAGAGTGAAACTTCATCTCAACAAACAAACAAACAAACAAACAAACAAACAAACAGGTGGTATGACCCATAGCCCAACTACAATCAATTAGAAAGTAACCCAAAGCATCTCCAAGTATACTGTCGGCTATCAGGCAATAACATGCAATTTCTAAAACCTAACTTAAATGCAGATTTTAAGTAAATTTAAAATGTGTCAGTTTACTTACATTTATTAAATAAAGTTAACACATAAGTATTTCTTGAAAATGAGAGCTCCGGGGACTTACAAAATGAAAAGTTTCCATTTCCTTCCTGTATTAACACAGCTAATGATGATCTTTACTTAACATGCATAAGTCAATTGAACAACTCAGCATTTCACCAAATTAAAAACAAAACCCAAAAGAGAAAAGGTAATACAACTAACCTTGGTCGAGTCGTTCACGCTGTTATTTGAAGTCTGTGGGCTTGAAGTAGAGATACTTATGGTTTTTTTGGAATATATTTTCTGTGGAGACCCATACTATTAAGATTTCCAACCCCAGGTGACCCTGGGTCTGGCCTCACAGGAGGAGGGCTGAGAAAAGGTGTCGTCTGCCTATTCTCCATATGGAGCATGCTGCGGACTCTTGTGATTATCTTATTCGATCTGAAAAGATAGCAAAAAAACAAAGGCTTAGTATTTTATGTTTTCCTTAAATGATCTAAATGACTTGCATTTTTAAAAAATTTGCCTGAGAGTAAACCAAATTACTCACAAAACAGTGTTTTAACACCAAAGACATGTGAGAGCATACCTGCTGTAAGCAAGTATATTCAAAAGTTGTTCTAAAAAAGTACACATGTTTCTAAGAAGATTCCTACTGAATAAGTAATTCAAACAAAGTAAGGAGGAAAGAGAAATGACTGTCAGTGATGTATGGCTCAACAGGTAACACTTGCTGCCTTCTGGAAGGCTCTACCTGTAAGATTCTGAGGATGCAATTATAAATACTTGTATTTAAAGGTAACCATGTGAGATGATGAACATGTTAATTTGCCTGACTATAAGAACCACTTCTCTATGAATAAATATATCATAACATCATGTTGTACTCTTTAAATTATATACTAAAAAAAAGAAAGAAAAGAAAAGAAAGCTAGAAATATTTGCATTTAGGAAACCAGTTTCAGGATTTTAAAAACTACTTCCAAATGTATTTTCAAACATTTCTTTCACCACCCTTGTAGACTTCATCCATTATTTAGGAAAAATTAAGCATTTAGCACTGAGGAATAAGTCACAGCAAGAACTCCTAGGGGAGAACTAGATGGCTGGGGTGGTGATCAAAAAGAACTAAAGCATCTCTGAAGGCCATTAGCCACTAGCATTGTGACCAAGGCACTGGAGGTGGGGCCTGCCCTTTGTCTTCCACACACCCCCCTTCAGGCTGACCAAGGTGTTATTTTTTAACGACTTTGTAAATTACATTTTCATCCTTAGGATAATCATTCCCTATTTCACAAGGATGCCTTCCTGTACACGGAAAAAAACTATACAGAATACTGCAGTTTGTCTCAAAGCGCCCTCTAGTGATAATACTAAAGATCACAATCAGGAAAGTTCAGTTACTGAATGCCAGGATGTGCCCAGAGTTGTAGGTAGTAGTTTGGGTTTAGGTTGTGATCTACCGAAAATAAATTAATTAATATTTATATTTAGAAGAATTCTGACAAGTAATTTTATAACAAAATCACTTTATTGACTAGAAAGCTTCAAAAATGCTAAAAGACTAATAGATTACATTAACTACATGAGATTTTCCAGGGGAAAAAAGCCACACAAAAGACAAAAGTAAAAAAAAGAAAGAAAAGGCAGAAACTGTCCTTGGCTAACATTTTAAATGTAAGTTTATTTACTAATATTATTTTCAAAAATTATACCATCAGGATAGCTTTCACTTCCTGCCAATCTCATAAAGTTCTCTCACTAAAAATTATACTTTGGTGGCAAGTTAATGAGCCCAGTTCATTTTCTACAAGTCTATGTTTTGACTTACTTCTTTACTTTTTTTGACATGGATCTGTTAGCCTTTAATGCTATTGCAAAGGCTTCCTTATATTCTTTTAATTCAGTAGTAACTTCTTCATAAGCAGTTTTCATTTTGTAGAACTGATATTTTGCATCTTTCTGTATGAGGTCTATTTTATTTACTGAAGCCATGTAATTCTTTTTTAACTGCTCTAAGTGTTTTTCATATTCTGCTTGTTTCTAAAACAAATGAAAAAAATCATACTTGTAAAACAATTATAACCTAATTCGTCTATATTTGTTGCCTTTCATTTAGAGTAAGTAATTCAGAAAACAATTTTAAATATGTTTTTAAAAAAGAAGCTGAAGTTTAAAACATTTATCAGCCATTTCATCTAAACTGATAATGGAATTAAGAATTAAATCTGAATTATAAAAATTTGAAATCATTCTTATGTTAGTATTCATGTAAACTGATCATTTAAAAAATGATAGAATCCATTTAAAATTTTAAAAACTGAACAATGTAGCTTAAGACCAATTCAAAAGCATCATATAATTTTAAATTACAATTTTTCTTTTTCTAATAGTCTTATGCCAACTGGCCTTAATAACTAAGTGACACTAGAATGAAAATCATTACCCTGAAAGATCAATTTAGTTATAATAATAATGGAAATTAAAATATTTAAAAGGAGAAATAGTCACCACTTTTTTTCCTAAAACTTTACAAAGCAAATTCCTATAAGAGGAGCAGAGAAAATACTGTATAGTGTGTTTATACATAGTGTTTTTATACATATAGTGTTTATATACAATAATTATATAATTATATATTATATCATATTAAATAAAAAATCGTATGATTATATAATTATATAATTTTTTACATATAGTGTTTATATTATATATAATTATATAATGATTATTTTATTTATATATAATTATATATTATATTATATAATTATTCCATATAATTTGCAGGGAAATAAATGAAAGCACATTACAGATAAACCTACCCGATTAACAAAAAACTAACCTGTAAACCGATTTCTTCTAATTTTTTTCTTTCCTGTCTTGTTCTTTCTTCTATCTGCAATTTATATTCTTCTAATTCACTAAGGTCTACCATATTTTTTTCTTTATGTGTCTTAAGATTCACTACTTCTTGTTCCAACGTTTTGTTAACCTCCTCCAATTTTTCATATTTCTGTTGTACATCTTTCATAGAGATTAACTCCTGTTGAATAACTTGATTGTTTTTAGCCAAATATAGACATTTTGAAGATACAGCTCCCAGCTCTTCTGTAAGATCATCAAACTGCATGAATAAAATAATACAGTTTGATAATGAAGTAGGCTGATAATATTTTAATACAAAACCAATAACAAATTTTGAAATACATTTACTTGCAATAACATGTTATCTGTAATGCAGTAGATTCTTCAATTGTGAACCGTTAAATTACTCAAAAAATCAAGAACAAAGTTAAAGCCACCAAGAATCACAATAATATATTATTTACTTTCGTCATCTTTGCCACAGAACTTTTGCACTTGATCTTAGGTTTTTACTTTTCTGATGGTTTTGTTTCTCCTGAAATGGCTCTAAGTTTTTTTCTTAGTAGAAAGTTTCTAATCTCCTTCCTTCATCATCACTTCCAATAATTTCTAAAGAAGATTTACGGACATCATGTTGAGTTATTTAGGTCAAAGACAATAAATGGCTCTCAGAATAAGACTTTGAAAATAACAATCTAGGGCAGGTGTGGTGGCTCTTGCCTGTAACCCCAGCACTTTGGGAGGCTGCAGTAGAGTGATCACTTGAGGTCAAGAGTTCTGTCCAGCCAGAGCAACACAGTGAGGCCATTTCTGTAAGAAGCTAAAAAATAATTAGCCAGACATGGTGGCTCCTGCCTGTAGTTTCAGTTAGTTGGAAGACTTAGGCAGGAGGATGGCTTGAATCTAGAGTTCAAGCCTGCAATGAGCCAGGACACCACTGCACTCCTGCCTGAATGACAAAAGAAAGACCATATCTCAAAAAAAGACAAACTAATGAGCTCTGTAAATAAGGAGTATGATATGGTTTGGCTGTGTCCCTACCCAAATCCCATTATGAATGGTAGCTCCCATAATTCCCACACATTGTGGGAGGGACCCAGTGAGACATAATTGAATTGTGGGAGTGGTTTCCCCCACACTGTCCTTGTGGTAGTGAATATGTCGCACAGTGTTTGATGATTTTATAAAGCATTTCCCCTTTCATTTAGCACTCATTTCTCTCATTCCCAAGCAGTAGGAGATAATTGAATCATGAGGGTGGTTCTCCCCATACTATTACTGTTTGCCCTTGGAACCCAGCCCGCACGTTGTGAGAAAACTCAGCCCGCAAAGAGAGCCTGGGAGTTCCAGTATCAGTGTTTATGCTGCCTACCCCGAGCAAAGTTCCAGCCAACAGCCAGCATCAACAACCAAACACTGGAGTGAGCAAACCTTCAGAGGATGCCACTTCCCCAGGCTTTCAGCTGTCCCTAGGGAAGCTGAGGGGAGCAGAGACAAGCTGTCCTGGCCAAGCTTTTTCCACATCACAGATGCATGAGCAAAAAAAAATGTTTCAAGCCACTAAAGTCTGGGTAATTGTTAGGAAAAATAAAATTATTTTTAAAAAGAGACAACAAGAAACAGAACTTATACAGCAGAATGTAGTCTCCTTTAAAGTAGGATCTAATAAATTTTGAGATTAATTGATTGATGACAAGCATTATTGAGAAGTGGCAGATAACCAGAAGAAAGACAGAAACTCCTGAGGAGAAACTTTTCCTATAATTCCATTCACTTATAAACTCCAATAACAAGGCAAGGGTGTCTATTAGAATTTCCCCTCAAGTTAGAAAATGAGACTGGAAAACAACAAGATGCATGATTCAAAAACAAATAGAAACATTTGGTTAAATAATAAAAATCAGACCTTTTCTTGATTTAAATTAACTGAAATTCTAAAGGAAGCAAGCAGCTTTGGGTATTTATTAATCAGTCTAGTATTCAATTTTCATTTTCTTCTCAATGAGGCAATAAGAATATTGTAGATTCATTTTTCATCTTCACAAAGTAAAATAAATGTAGTCTGCTTTGAATGTGAAGAAATTAAATCCAATGACCCCTTTACCTTACTTCAGGCTTGTTTGTAAGTAGAAGTTAAGACCATCCCATCTTTATGCTATACCACAGTGTAACACATGTTCTCTATAGCATACAAATTGGCTCTCAGATATTGAAATTCAAAATACTAATTTACTATTTGTCTCTGATAAATTGCCTGAACATTATTTGATTTTTAAGTGCTGCACTCCTAAAAATTTCTCTTGGCATGAGTTAAATTTTGTATTCCAAGAATCTTGTATTGAGCTAGAAAGCAGATCTGGGCATCTCTGTTTAAATAAAAGGACGTCAATACAGGGAACTGTGGTTTCTGAGAATGCAGGAATTACACCAAGGAAAGGATCAGCCCCAGTGTAAACCAGCTACCAGGTGGAAAGAGGATTTGCGAACTGAAAGATGATGACTTAACTTGATTTTCACTGAGATAACCTGACAGCCCAGACCTAAACTTCTCCTTCCTAGAAGGTGAACATTTGTGAGTGATTCTATACATTATAAGGAGTTAATAAAACATAATACACCAGGCCAGGTGTGGTGGCTCACACCTATAATCCCAGCATTTTGGGAGGCCAAGGCAGGCAGATCACCTGAGGTAGGGAGTTCAAGACCAGCCTGACCAACATGGAGAAACCCCGACTCTACTAAAAATACAAAATTAGCCAGGCGTGGTGGCCCATGTCTGTAATCCCAGTTACTCGGGAGGCTGAGGCAGGAGAGTCACTTGAACCCGGAAGGTGGAGGTTGCGGTGAGCTGAGATTGTGCCCTTGCACTCTAGCCTGTGCACAAAGAGTGAAACTCCATCTCAAAAAAAAAAAAAAATGCACTAAATGGCAGACCAAAATTTGAAGAAAATGCATCCAGAATTTAAAGAAAATGTGTCTAAAGAGGGAAGCATTGGATAAGAGACTAAAGTTTGAATGGGGAAAAATATAGATGAACTGTGTCTTGTAAGCCTGACTTCCCACTATGTCTCAGAGTCAGTAAGGTATGAGCTGGCCAGACTCCTTTGAGACACAAAAGGTGAGGTTAAAGATGTTCCACTACATCCAGTTTTATCATGACATCAGACAAATGGTAATACGCAACATGACTGAAAACACCTTCTAATTAAATTTGATTTGGTCCTGGCATAAGAATAAACATAGATAAACATATTAGAATTGAGAATCTAAATTTAAACCTGTACATTTACAGTTAATTGATTTTTCTCAAGGTTAACAAAACAATTAAATGGGGGGAAAATAGTCTTTTCAACAAACGATGCTGGGACAACTGGATATTCGTATTCAAAAGAATAAAGTTGGACTCTTACCATATCTAAAAATTAACTCAAAGCAAAACAGCTAAATGTAAGAGCTAAAACTATAAAACTCTCAGAAAAAAATTGACATAAATTTTTGTGGCTGCATTTGGCTGTGTTTTCTTAGCTATGAAGAAATGGATTCAATGGACTTCAAAACTGCAAACTGTTGTTCATGAAAAGATGGCCTCAAGAAAGTGAAAAGGCAAGCCACTGAGTAGAAGCAAATATCTGAAAAGCATAGATCTGACAAAGACTCATTATCTAGGATATACATAAAAAAACCTTATAATTCAGAAATAACAAGGTAAGCCAATTAAAAAATGGGCAAAGAATTTGAATAAACATCTCTGCAAAGAAGATATACAGATGGTTATAAACCCACAAAAAGATGCTTAATGCGATTAGTAATTAGGGAAGTGTAAATTAAAACCATTATGTATTATCACTTCACACTGTGAGGATGACGTCTTTGTTCAATGAAAAAGATAGAAAATATGTGTTACCAAGAATATGGAGAAATTAAAACCCTTACACAATGCTGCTGGGAATGTAAAATGGTATAGCCAATTTGGAAAACAAACTGGCAGCTCCTCAAAAGGTGAAGCACGAAGTTACCACGTGAATCAGAAACTCCAGTCATAGTATATACTCAAGAGAAACGAAAACATACGTAAACACAAAAACTTGTACATTAAATTGAGCAGCATTATTAACAAGAGTCAAAAAGTGAAAAGAACCCAAAGGTCCACCAACTGACGAATGATGAATAAAATGTGGTGTTTACACACAATGGGATATTACACAGCAGTAGGAAGAAATTAAGTACTGATACCTACACAGAAGAAGCTTGAAAAAGTTATGCTAAGTTAAAGAAGCCAGTCACAATAGACCACGTATTGTGATTCAATTGATATAAAATGTTCAAAATATACAGATCTATACAAAGAAGGCAGGTGGTTCCCTAAGGCTGTGGGAGGAAGGGGAAACTAGTGAGGATGGCTAAATAATGTGAGGTTTCTTTTTAGGGTAATGAAAATGTTCTAAAATTGATCGTGATGATTGCATAACTCTGTGAAAAACTAAAAGTCGATGAATTGTGTACTTTAAATGAGTGAATTGCATGGTGTGTTAATTATATCTCAATAAAACTGTTTTCCTCCAAATTTATTTGGTGCTAGTGATCTGGAGTCATGTAACAGTGTATTGCTTGGTTTCAGATCATTGGCCACGGTTTAAGACATAAGAGAATCAACAGCATGCCCTTTTTATTGAAAAAGTAATATATGGGCACAGTGACTCATGCCTGTAATCCCAGCACTTTGGGACACCCAGGCAGGCAGATTGCCTGAGTTCAAGAGTTCATGACCAGCCTTGGGTAACACAGTGAAAACCCATCTCTCCTAAAATACAAAAAATTAGCCAGGCATGACAGCATGTGCCTGCAGTCCCAGCTACTCAGGAGGCTGAGGCAGGAGAATTGCTTGAACCTAGGAGGCAGAGGTTGCCGTGAGCTGAGATCACACCACTGCACTCCAGCCAGGGCGACAGAGTGAGACTCCAACTAATATATATATAAACCTGTCCTTTCCATTAGCATCAAGTCTGTAAAACATATATATATATATAAAATCTTTCCCTCACTGCTTAATGTACTGACAGATTTATATCGAGGACTAAACTCTGATCTTTTTTTCTTTCGCCCCAATTCTTATCTTAGGGGCCTGGGGAGTCACACCCTACACACTATAAAATCTCATCAATGGGTTTCATTAACTCATATCAAAGGCTTATTTTTCAGCCTGACTCTGGTACAGCATCAAAGATAGCAGATGCTGAAGGAAATCAAAATAATTTACCCCCAAACATACTTATTTCACATATTTTGAAATGGCTACCACAGGGCCAAGAGATTAAAATGGCTCTACAAAGCTGTCTTCGCTGGGAAATTTTGCACCTGTAAGAAGTCTCTATTAATGTAACCAGATCTCTCCCCTTCTATGGATTCCTAGAGCTAGGAGAAATTATCTAAGAGCCCGACACATTTAAAGTCTGAAAAGATATATTTACCAGCTATTCTGTCTGATGGCTACAGGCTATGAGCCTTCATCTACATAATAAAAACCTTGGCCTCCATGATCCCCTCATCTTAATTCAGGCATTCCTTTCTACAGATTTCAAGTTTTAGACAATAGCTTAACTCTACGATCACCTCAAGAATCCCTAAAACCCACCTATGATTTGTAAGCCCCCCCTTCCATATGTCCTACCTTTTGGGGCTGACTCAATGTATACCTTCCTCATGTGATTTTTCCCTACAATTTCTGTCCCTTGGAAATGTGTAAAACCAAACTGTAACTCCTTTCTCAGGATCTCTTGAGATTGTGCAACCCAAGGCCACAGTCACTCATATCGGCTTAGAATAAACCTCTTTAAACAGGTTTGGCGGAATTTGGATTTTTTCATCATCAGTATTTCCCCAAATTAAGTGACCTTTTAAAATCACAAGACCGATCAAAAATTACCTTATGTTTTAGCTTCGTAATATTCATTTCCAGGTGATCTGTTTCTAAGTCTCCATGGAAAACCAATTCTTCATTTCCAAATTCATTTAATAGACATTTTGTCATTTCCAGGAGTTTCTTATATCTGCAGAAATGTACTGCATTAGTAAATCAAGCGTTTTTAAGAGTCAATACTGAATAATTTTTAAATAGATATTATGTTTTAGCATATAAAAGATATAAATTATGATCCTCTCATTTGTTTCAACTGAAAATAGTTTAAAAACATTCTAATAAAATTATAATCTTAGACGAATAACATAAAATTTTTATCATATATATGGCAGATAGAGTGATATTGTCACATACACAATTTTATAAATAAACTATGCCTATACATTTTGGTATGTTAAGATAAAATAATCTAAAACTAAATATTAGCCATAACTCAGAGATGAGTATCCAAGATGAAAAAATAAAACATATATATGTTTGAAAAAGATACATTTTGATAACTGTTTATCAGTCTATAAGAAGAAAAGAAAGTATGCAAAAAGCATCAAGGATATCATTCAAAGTACAAAAAGAGGTAAGAAAACATCTTTGATGTCTGAGTTGAGAGGAAAAAGAAACAGGCAGTTTTAGAGGAAAGAAAATGAGCACAGAGATGTGTGAAGATTTAAAGAGTGCTTGAAGAAGAGATCTAGAGATCTTTGCTGACGCTGTCAACAAAATGAAAGAGACACAAAACCACGTCCAGAAAGGCGATGACAGAAAAATGTTGATTAGAATCAGCAAATGAACTCAAGTACTCGGCAAATGTATAGAAAAGTAGCTGTGTTGGTGACTTCAAAGACACATTACGTTTTTAAAAAATCTGTGATAAAAACATGATTGCTCATTTTACTCTTTTAAGTTATACATATGTTTTTGTATATATAACATTTGTTTATGTGAAACAAGTTTAATAACATGCATACCTCATGTATATAAGGGAGGTACCCATGGAAAATGAGTAAATTTCCATGATAGGTTTTCTATCTTAAAGAAAGAAGCAGAAAGAAAATACAATGAAAATATCAAAATAAATGTTGATGTTGTTAAAGAATGACACAGGTCTTCTTCAAAGAATTTGAATGCAGCAGAGAAGGATACTACCAAAGGAAGGAAAAATTACCAAAGACAGTAAAAATACCTTCAGAAACAAAACTTCACACAAGACAAAGGTTCAGTTGACATTATATGTACAAGGCTTTGTCATTATTGTTTTCAAAATCATTAAAGAATAATATTTTGGTATTCAAAAATATCAGGTTGCATTATGAGTTTCTAAAATAAATGTTAAAATAGACTTTAACTATGAAAATGCCGATATAAAATGAATTTGTATCTAGGTTTTAATGAAGTAAAAGTATAGTTAAATCAATTGATGTATGGTTAAAATGTTTGACAATATTAAAATCATACCCAGCTCTCTCTTTTTCTAATTCATCATTTCTCTTTCTTATTTGATCCATATTATACTTCAGACTTGAAATTAACTCAGAAAGTTTTCTTAATTCTTTCTTTTCTTCCTCAGGCTTGAAAAAAATAGTTTTAAAAAGTATTTTTAAAAATATAGAGACACATTCTTCTATCTTAAAAACATTTCTTATAAGTTTATGAATAATACGTATTTAGGCAGGTGTGTAAAGTGCATTTTATAAACCTGATGCCAATAAGGACAGACTTCAATAACAATCACTTTTCTTAAAACAGCGAAATATGATTTCATACTTTTGCTATTAACTTTTCTGAAATTTAAACTGCAAATAATTTTTGTTAAAAACAGAGGGTTTTGCACATAAAAAACTAAGTGTTGGTAGAAAAAAAATTAAGAGTAGTTATATTTGCATTTTAGTTTTCAAAGATGCCCTAGAAACATTGTCATTAATACAGAAACGTATTCCAGGTTGTGTTAAATTACACCTTACTAAGACAATTTTAAGAAAACTCTCATCTGATTCCCATTATATTTTTGATCCTCATCTGTTTTCAGGATGAGCTAAATACTCTCTCTGTAAATATTCATCCATGCTTTGAGTTTTTCCTTTTCTCTTAACCATTTCTCTTGAAATAAAGTTTAATTCTTCTCTATAACAAAAAAAACCAACTTCTGTCTAACTTTTGAGGCTTTTCTATTGTCCTGTTTCTCCCCTTCCATTGAACTTTATAGTGCATAGTGTCATTCAGAAATCTATTTCTCATCACCTACTGTCTGATTTTAGAAAGGCTGTCGGACATCAAGGACTTTACCTTGCTTTACTTGGCAGCCGCTGCGAGCTGTGACCAAACCCTCCCATCTCTGAATGCAGCAACCTCTGATGTTTAGTCCTATCCCTTTCTATTGCTCTTTTTAAATTATCCCAGAGCTCCTTAAATCTCACAACTCCCGCCCAGATTCCTGAATCTACATTTCCAGCTCTGTCCCTTTTACTGAGGCCTCTTTCTTTTAGTACACTTCTCATAGAAAATATTCCTCAAGGATCTAGAACTAGAAATACCGTTTGACCCAGCAATCCCATTACTGAGTATATACCCTAAGGATTATAAATCATTCTGCTATAAAGACACATGCACATGTATGTTTATTGCAGCACTATTTACAATAGCACAGACTTTGAACCAACCCAAATGCCCATCAATGATAGACTGGATATAGAAAATGTGGCACATATACACCATGTAATACTATGCAGTCATAAAAGAGAATGAGTTCATGTCTTTTGCAGGGACATGGATGAAGCTGGAAGCCATCATTCTCAGCAAACTAACATAGGAAAAGAAAATGAAGCACTCATAAGTGGGAGTTGAACAGGGAGGGGAATATCACACATCAGGGCCTGTTAGGGGGTGGGAGCAGGGAGAAGGAGGGCATTAGGACAAATACCTAATGTATGCAGAGCTTAAAACCTAGATGATGGCTTGATGGGTGCAGCAAACCACCATCGCACATGTATACCTATGCAACAAACCTGCACATTCTGCACATGTATCCCAGAACTTAAAGTAAAATTAAAAAAAAAAAAGAAAATATTCTCAGCCACATGCTCATACACTGATGTTACTTTGAGTGTAGTGTTATTTTCTAATCTTGAGAAGGACAGCCTCACTCTTATGATATTAACCAGCATATATTGTCCTTTTTCCTTTTAATGCACAACTTTCCCAGAAGAATAAAATTATTCATTGTTTGCCTGTTTGTTTGTTTTTTTTTAAAGAATTTCCTTTTCCATAGAGATATGGCATGATGAAAATCTTGTTCTAAAGTTTCTTTCAGGGGACACTCCACTATATATCATTGGGAAGCTCCAGTCAAGTAAAGGTCTCCCTTCAGCCCAATTGAGATTCTTCATTGCAAAATTGTGTCCACTAAATATCTTAATCCAAGTAGTCTCTGGCTTAGGAATTTATGAAATAAGAACTTTCTGGAGAAGTTAGAGGCTACTAATGGAGTTGGTTGAAAACTGCCCCTTATTAAATTTTTTCTACCCAAAGTAGACATCAAAGTGGCTAATAATTCTATGCCTGATTTCTAAGTCATTGCTACGGGAATCTACACAAAATTGTTCATTTCGTGAGACAGTTTCACTCTGTCACCCAGGCTGAAGTGCAGTGCCCTGATCACTGCACACTGCAGCCTTGATCTCCCAAGCTCAAGTGATCCTCCTACCACAGCCTCCCAGGTAGCTGAAGCTACAGGCATGCACCAGCATGTCTCAGCCAATTGTTTTAAACTTTTTTTTTTTTTTGTAGACAGGGTCTCACTTTATTGCTGTGGCTGGTCTCAAACTCCTGGTCTCAGGTGATCCTCCTGCCTCAGGCTTCGAAAAAGCTAGAATAACAGGCAGCATGAGCCACCAACCAGGTATTTCATGGAGTGATTTGAGAGGCAGTATCTACACAGAAGCCAGATGGCCTGGGTCTGAATCCCAGCTCCACCAGGTACGAGCTGTGTGACCTTCAGCAAATTAACTTTCTGTATCTCTGGTTCTTTACCATCTACTTCACTGGGATGTTGTGAAGACTAAGCATCCATCAAAATTAGTGTCCTAAAACATGTTATAGAATTCAACCAGCTACAGAATAACTGCCGACATGTTAAATTCCATACATACTTGACTTTCTACTTGAAATAATTTCTTCTTTGAGGCCTGTGTCTCATCCAAATTAATGTGACAACGTGATGTACCTTCTAGTGGCAACTCTGACGTACTTATTTTTTTTAGGCTATCAGCCAATTGTTGTTGACGTTGTCTCACGTCCACCTGAAAAAATACTTTTGTTACTGATTTTATAATAATAATTATTAAATTATGTTAATAATATTTAACATAGATACTTTGAAAATTATCACCACACACATCGATTCACCTTTTCATCATATGTACGCATTTTTATTTGTTACTGAATTCAGTGAGGGACGCAGAATGTGTTCTCTTCCTGCCAAATTGGTATTCTCTTACTTACACAACAGATTCATCCCAGTATTCAATCATCTTAGAAGCTCAACTCAACCTCAGATTCCTAACATATTCAATCACCTGTTCAAATCCTTCTAACAGATTTCTATCTCAGAATAAAAGTAAAATTCCAATGGCCTTTGAGGTCCTAAGTAAACAGGCCTCTACCTCCCTCTCTGACCTCAAGCTCCTAAAACTCCCTCCTGTACTCACTCCATTCCCATTGTGTGTAAAGCCTGCCACCCCTCGTTAGTCTGAAAATGAGGATCTAATGCCCAATTCATAAATCACAGGCAGCTACAAGTATTTTTGTACTGGACAAAATTATATTCAAATGATAGTTATTGAGCCTTGAAATAAAAATTATGAGGCAATTATTAATACAAATACTCAAAGTAAATTATAAATACCAGTGGGAAGACTAAATCAAATATGGTTTTGCTAAAATTTAACATATTTATCCTAAATTATGATTTTATAACAAGTAGTTCCCTTTAAAATGTATTTTTATGGCCATGTAAACGTAGTCATAAAAATACATAATTTGAGACTGATATATTTTCAGATTTAAGCCAAATTAATATGAATAAAAACAAAACTATACAAACTAAAATATATAAAAAGATACTTACAGA